CCCGCCCAAAACGTTCTGCAGTGAGCTGGTGAGAACGGTGTGGACTTACAAATGTCCAAAGGGCTAAAGGACAAAATGGCACTGGTGGTGTTTCCCGCCACATTTGTGACACACAGGTAGGCCATGTGACGTGTCCTGAGCTCGTCGTCGTTGTGCTCCAGAACGCACCAGCAGCGGGACCGCTGGGAGGAGAAGGAGCACTGAACACGCTGGAATCTGTCACTGGGCCTGGGCCAGAACAAGACAAAGGAGAAGCTCGTTTATACTTGAAGGAAATCAACATTTGCAAAATAACTCCATTGCCGTCTTTGTCGTTCAAGTGTTGGCAAACACAGCAAAGGGAAGAGTGTTATGAACATCCCAGCCAAATCGGAACGATTGAAAAAAAAATCACTTCCTTTTTTTACAATAACACTTTAAAATTGTGAAAATCAAGCCCTTCTTCCCACTTTGAAATCCTGTGGAAATTGTCCAGAGTCTTTCTTATGCCCACACAATCCGTAAATGAGTCTCAAAAAATATATTTGCTTAAAACACCCGATGGCTCCGACATCGGCGCTGCTGAGCTTTTGCACACCACAATAACGAGGCACTCTAAAGCGGCGACACCAGTGCGGAGCCCAACATCCTGACGTGCGTTAAGCTTTAACGGTGGCTCCTACTCTTACCTTTTATTGATGAAGAGAGAGCAGTTTGGACGTAACGGCAATGGCTTCCGAGGCGTCCAATCACAGCGGATCTTACTGCTGGGTGACTTTTTGGAACAGGACAGTCTGGGAACTTCTGGAGGATCTACAGCACAAGAACCCTCCAATTACTTCATTAAAGCATGACATCATGCGGCCATATATCAGGCTAACGCACAGCATGATAAATGTCGTAATTCATCTCCCAAAGGCATTGCTCGGGGAAGATCATTTGTGCCACATGTTGTACTGAACAACTGCAATCAATGATGTTCTTGCAGATCACGCAAACAAGCCTGGACAGGATTCTTGGCCACGTCAGCAATGTTGAATCATCAGCGTGATGCGCAGGCAGTGCCGGTTTCTGGCATGTGCATGATTTGTGGTTGCAGGAGATCTCAGTTCAACTCAAACATGGGAGTTAATGCTACAATATATCAAATCGGTGTTTCGAACTGGAATGAATTGAGATGTCATTAATGCGTTCCCCCAAAACCACCACCTTGGTTGCGTGTTATTTTTCGTAAAATAAAAAAAGCAGTGCACAGTTAAAAACATAGTAAGACACAACAAAGAGAATGTAAAGGACAAAACTAATCTGTCCGTGAAATGACCTGAAGTTGGTTGTTGTACTTGTGAGTGTCTGGGCGTGAGTTGTGGTCTACAGCAGCTGCTTGCGAGTGTTCACATTTTGTTGGACTGTTTGTCCTGTTCAGTAAACAGTATCTTATTTGGTCCATTTTTTTTTTCACTTCACTCAGCAGCGTCATGAGATAATTAGAATTTTGGGTCACGCCAAAAAGCAAAAAAACAAAATCATGACCAAACTGCTCAGAACATGAAAAACTTGAAAAAATGTTGGTAATCAAGCTGCCGCTGTATATTATGACAAACGGAATTTATGTGGGTGTCGCAATCACAGGAAAAAAAAAAAAACACAAATTCGTTCAACGCCGTGTTAACTCACCTGCCACAATGACCTTCAAGGAGAACATCACTTGACCTTTGTACTGACAAGTGTAATTCCCAGAATCCCTCAGCCGCACCGAAGTCACGGACAGCTGCGTCCCACTTTTTCCCAACGCGAAGCTGTCCAACTCCCGGTGTCCTCTCCCCACTGTCTCCCCGTTCCACTTCCATTTGGACTTCCCTTTGACGACCCTCGTCCCCCTGTTGCCGTTTGCGTTTCCGCCCTCCAGAGGTGTCACGGTCGCCCGGACCACTTGATGCGTGGGAAAGGATGATGATAACGATAACGATGTTTGTTCACCACGCTGGACTCCTTCCTCGTGAATTCTTTCCTTCGTTGCGTTCAAATCCGTTTTTCTGAAATCTCCGTTGCTGGTGTGCATCTCACGAGAAGCGTCCGTGTCATCGGAGCTGCGTTTAGCCGCTTTGACTTTTGCTCCATCCACCCTCACATCGCCATCACAGGACAGAACTAAACTGCTTCCAGGGGACACCACCAACACTCCGGGAGGAGCCTCTGACGAGAGAACAAGCAAGGCAATGGTATAAATTATTGTTTATTTTTAGACTGTATGCAAAGAATATTGTTTTAATTTATACTAATTGCTGCAGCGCAAACTTTCCAAGGCCACATACTGAGGAAAAACTATCGTACCATGTTTGGTCATGTGACATTTGTTTGTCCACTAAGACTGAGTTCGTAAGGCTCAAGAACTCCCGAATGGCTACGGATGTTCCATGGAACTGTTCATAATTCCCTCCGCCTGGGGAAAGGCCCCAATTTAACCGCCGCCATGGTGTTCCTTTGGTGTCGCTTGCACCAAACATACCTTTTGGCGTAAATTACCGTTACGTGTAGCATTGGGGTGGTCTGAAAATTAGGATGAGGTTACAACTAGGTTTAGATTTGGGTTAGAGTAAATCCGGGCTAGGATTGACAGATTTAAGGTTTGGATACGTTAAGCGCACATTGCAGAATCACCATTACATACGTTTATCTAGTTTCTGGACATATTTTGTTCCCCTCCACACGAGGATGACCAAATATTTGTACTTCCTCTTTAAATTCTCAATTTCTTTCTTCAGTGCACCATATTCGTAATGCACTCTCTCTTATTTGAATAACCAACGACCTCGACCCCTTGTAAGTTCACATTGGAGAGTTTGTAGAGAGAGAGAGAAAGAGAGATAGATGTTGACACGAAATGACCTTTAGCCGTTTTTGAAGGGTAAACACACAACAGCTGTACTGGCTAAAAAAAATTAACGGGAGACAAATGCAAAATAAATTGTTCGGAATCATAACTCAATTAGCTTCCACTTGTCATTTACAGTTTCATAAAGATAAATTAAAAATACCCCGTTTTTTTTTTTGTTTGTTTGTTTTTTTTCACGAACCTCTCGGCCAGAAGAAGAAAATATCAAACTATGCTCACATTCATTCTCATACGGTCCCCTACGAACAACCGACTTCGACGGTATGTATTTTATTCGGTATATTCGAAGGTTAAATCCTTTCACTCGTTCGACTTAAAATAAATTCCTTGCTTAAAAAGAGAGCACAACGTTTGGTGGAAATGTACCTTTTTTCGGACAAGTCCCCTGGAAAATGCTGCCTACCGGCGCGGCGCATAAAATCCACAGCAGAGAGTGAAAACGGCACATCTTCAATGCCGAAAATCCAAAATGATCACATCGTCTCCAGAAAAAAAGTCGTGCTTGTGGACCCAACTGGCTGTCTTTGCACTGGAAGTCCAATTTGTATCGTGAGTGTACAAACTTCCTCTGAGACACGTTATTGTGAAACTCATCCGCCCACCCCCCACCCCCCTTTTCCAAACACACACACACACACACACACACACACACACACACACACACACACACACACACACACACACGCATATTAAACTGAGGATCTCCTCCTCGGTGAAACACCAACTGAATATTTATCACTATTAGAGCAAATGACAACGTCCTGTAATATATCAACATGAGCAATGATTTAATCAGGGTCATCGTTTGTCTCATAAATATTTTGTGAGTGAAGTCATTTGTACAGTCATAATAATCCGTTTCAAGTTACCGCTTGTCCAAGAAGAGAACAAAACAAAATAAAAAAGGCTTTCGAGAAAATTATTCCCAAGGAATGGAATCTTTAAATTTGATGAGATTTTATCCCCAATCGAAAGCACCTATCACCAAAATGTGCGCATTCCCACAAATGAAAAGAATGCATCTCCAAATTTGAGGTTTGGTTCCCAATTGGAAGCATATACGGCCGTATTTGGTGAGATTTTCCTCACTGAAAAACCTCAACAGTATATCTTTAAATTGTATTTTTACATTTCCTGACTTTTTCTTTCTTCTCCTTTCGGCTTGTCCCTTTCCAGGGGTTGCCACAGCGAGTCATTAATTTCCATCTTTCCCTGTTCTCTGCATCCTCTACTCTGACTCCAACCCAACTATCTGCATGTCTTCCCTCACTGCATCCACAAATTTCCTTTTTGGCCTTCCTCTCTGTCTCCTACCATTTCTAACATTCTCCTACCAATGTATCTGCTATCCCTCCTCTGTACATGTCGAAACCATCTCAGTCTGCCCTCTCTAACTTTTTCTCCAAACTTTCCTGTCTGAGTTGTCCCTCTGATGACCTCATTTCTGATCCTGTCCATCCTTGTCACTCCTAAGGAGAATCTCAACATCTTTAACTCAGCCACCTCTAACTCCGCCTCATGTCTTTTGCCTATTGCTAATGTCTCTAGACCGTACATCATGGCTGGTCTCACAACTGTCCTGTAGACTTTTCCCTTCACCTTAGCTGGCACTCTTCTATCACAAATCAAATTTGTCATGAGTAAATACAATTATCTCCAGATTTTTTGGAGCACGTATTTCCAACCTGAGTGCACTTTGTCCAAATGAAAAGCATGTAGCTGTAAGTTTTTTTTTTTCCATTACATGTAAATTGTATATCCGAATTCCTTGAGTCAGAATTTTTTTTAAATTCTCCTCTTGATGAAAGCACAGAATCTCCATGCCCAAATTTCCAAATAATTCAACTTTTCAAATGTCAGCTTCTTTCTCCAACTTTGAAACCATACAGTCCGCTTCCTGGAGTCAAGTGCTGTTGAATAAACATATCTCCAAAACTTTCTGTCTTGTTTAAGATCATATATAGCTTAATCCTTAAGATATGTATCGATTTAGACCACTCGTACAACTCGACACACCGCGATCGAGGCATGAGAACGCCTGAACACGTTTCACTGATAACGACTGACGAAACATTTAAACGTACATTTCAGAGCGTATGTCGTATGTAGTCGACACACAAAAATGATCTCCCACATCCATTAGTCTGTTTGAGTTTCTACTTGGCTTTCCATTACAAGCCAGGCAGTCATCAAATTTAGATCACGCTGCTTTAAACACATCAATATGATGCAGCCAACCAAACAAAACAAACACAAAAAAAAGAAAACCCAAAGTCATGAGTAGATGTGTGGCACGATGATAACTTGCGTTGTTCTCATTGAGAACTAATGAGCTGCATTTTTCTGTTGGCTTAATACATATATGCTCGCTTGAAATATGCTGTTGCCGCCTTTTAGGAGTGGTGGGCCGCCTACTGGCAAACACCGATAACGGTTTAAAAATGAAAAAACACATGAAAATAATCAGTTGCATAAAACTGTATTCATTTCTCCCCCGCAGTCTGTCCTCGTAATTTTGCATCATTCCTCTTGGCTGCGCTGCTAACAGGACGTGTATGTGGGTGTAAAATTTTTATAATTATTTTTATTATTATTTTTTTTGTCAAATCAGATTTCTTCATTTGTTGCATGTCACTGTTATCTGCCCCGGGGCCTTCACAATCAGGAGAGCTGGCCAATGCAATTGAAACTATAAGAACCAATCAGATTTCAACTTTGTCCTCACAGGGCCAGCAAGCTGGCCCACAATACAGTCAGCATTTTTACATCCTCCGACTGGTTGTTCATCGAGTATAACCTCACGCTAGTGATTTGTACCTTATAATATATTTAACAAGAACCATCTCTGGTGAGTATGGCGTGGTCCTATTGAACTATTTTGTGCCTTTGACCAATTACTAGGTAAATAGAAATTCTCAACTGCTCAAGATGATGTAGGTGGCTGTTACATTTTGCTTTTGGCAAGTATTGATGTCTTGTCTAATTGCAACATGACAGCGTTAGCAGTAAGAGGTGGACCAAACGCACGGCCCGCCACCGCTTTACAGTATCATCAACAATTAGAAGATTTCATGCATTTCTACTTTCTGTTTGTTTGAGTCCTCTTTTGTCATTATTTTTTCTTCTCATTCTTTTTGAGCGGTTTTCTCGGCAACAGAGGGTGAGCCTGTGCTGACGGCTCCTTCCCGAAGATCCTCCGAAGCTTCCACTGAAGTGGAAGTCGTGGGAATCATCCGAGAGTCTTGGACTGTTTCCACCTCAGTGGGTGCCTCCTGCGAGCACCCCAGAACAGAAGAGGAGTGAGAGAGCGCAGGAGTGCACTCCCCCGACGCACTGGGGGGCGTGTGAGCGTGCTTCTTTCTCCGCAGGGTGTCGATCCAGCTGGAGCTATGTCTGGAGGCGAAACTGGCCAGAGCCAGAGACGAGAGACGCATGTTCTTCCCAGAGGTGATCAACTCGCCAAATCCCTCCTGGTGAGCAAAGGCGTAGCCGGACCGCCGGGAACCGCCCCTTGCGCCCAGCCGGCCCTCTGAGACGCTGCCCGCGCTGCGCCAGGTGGATGCCAGGCGACCGCCCGCTGGCCTGCGCTTCTTTTCACACATCAGCTGAGTGTGGCGGATCTAGAGAGAGGAAACCAAAGGTGTTATTTGTCGTTGCGAGTCACATTTCTATAACGAGGTGTCACGAAAAGACATGATTTCGTTGTGTAATGGAACATAATTGAAGTAGATAAATAAACTGTTGTGTATTGTCATACAGATTGATGTATTGCTTGTGTTTGTTAAACAATAGATGGGAAGACAACTTTGAAAACAAATCATCACATTAAATCCTAATCGCAATATTGAGTTAAAAAAAAAGGAAAAAAACCCTTTAGATTATTTAGGCAAACTATTTTCAAACGGGCGCTTCACTTTATTTGCAGATTGGTACCATCAAACTAATGCAAAGACATTTTTTCATACTTGAAATGTCTCATCAACGTTGTATGCATGTTTACACTCTTTCCTTGAACTGTTTTCCCTTTCATTTTCACCTCTCAAGAGACGTCCGCTTGCTGATATTTCAATGTTTTTCTTCCTGTCACAGGGGAATTTATCCCACACTACTGTTGCTGTATGCGTTCTCTTGGGGGGGAATCTGGCTTCTACATGTCAGTCATTGTGTCGTCTAAGTCTTGCTCAAATGATCTCAAAGTACAACGAGATGTGGAAAAGGTAACTAAAAGACCACCCAAATTCACAACAATTGCAATGTGCATTCGGTGACACTTTGGTGGTGCGCTACAAAGTATATTTTTTGAGGGGACATCTGTATCTCATGCATGTCAGCGACTAGAAACACAGGCTTAATAAGGGGACCCTGCAGCGGTACCATCAACATATTTTTCCATCCTTTGGCCTGCTTTAAAAGGAAAAAAAACTACAAAAAAGAGGATGTTCTTCACATCAAGCTGAGGGATCTAGGTGAAGACACATTGACTACAAAGGCCACGGGCTGCATTAAAAGCCTCTTCTGTCATTACAGTACACTGATTTTGTCAATATTTGCAGCCTTTTTACAATGCGTGAGGTCCCTCACAGCTTCGCTCACCCATTAAAATGCCCATACGAGCTCAGAAAGGTTCTGCAGTTCATCACATGTTGAGAAATTTGGATTTGAATGCATGAAGCCGCACTACTGACGTGAGTGTTCTTGTTTTTCTCACCGTGTCTGAGAGCTGAGGTTTGAGGTCCAACTTGAGGAAGCGGAATGCCAAAACTGGAACTATACAGATTACCGTTGCCAGTGCAATCGTCAACCACACGACTGGCTGCAATAGTGTGCTCTGAGCACTGCCTATACTCAAAAACACACAAACAAGCAATTGATAAGCCTCAAATGGTAAATATGTACTGGAGAAAACACATGTTACAAAGCGGAGTTCCCCATGGCTCTCTCCTAAGTCCATTTTTTCCCCCAGTTTGCACATGGTCTTAAAATGAGTCATGTGGCTGTGTACAAAATTAAGCAATTACATTTAAACTCATGTTCACTGAGTCACCCATAATAAATTTCATCTGTTCTATTAAACGTTTCTCAACATTAAAAAAAAAAAAATCTTTCTAACTGCTAACACTGACTGGAATTTGAAACTGTTCTCAACTCACTCCACTTTGACTTCCAAGTTCCAAGGGAGGAAAGAAAGCAACAGCCCCAAAGGCTGGCATCACTATGTTTTACTGTCGGTGTGGTATTCTTTTGATGATGAGCAGTGTCATGTTTAACTACCACAGATGCATTTTGGCCAAAAAGTTCAACCTTGGTTCAAAGTTTTGGGAAAAAAAAAACAGTTAAGGCTCCCAAATGCATGTGGGCATATGTCTTACGGTCTGATGACAGCAATGTTGAACTTTTTGACTGCAGACTGATGCAAAAACATTCAACGCCTACTTAACAGATACTAATGAAAAAAAAAACAACAACACATTTTTTTTGGTGGGGGTGTTACGGTTTCTTTCTACTGTGTTTGTGGGTGCAACAGCAGTGTGGACCGACCTACAAAATGGAAGTGATTGGGGAAGCTACTGAAGAGTGTCTGACTGTGCACAGCAAACATGATGGTAAAGTAGCAGCCTAACGAGCCCCACACAAACACGTGGTTAAAAATGGTCCAGAAGCCAGTGTCCAGTGAGATCTACACAATCCCAAACATACAAAAAACAAGAGAAGGATGGTTAGAACACACTTGATGATGACATATAGCCGGGAGGAGCACCCGCATGGAAAATTCACACCATCGGCTTACCTGTACACTCACCACAATGACCAGCGCTGTTGCCGTGGTGACAGCAAAGGTCTGGTAGTCAGTGAGAGGCTCTCCATTGCTCTGCGAGGCGTTGGCTAGGATGGCGTAGGGGACGAAAAACAGCACCACTGATGTGTAGATGCCCTGGGCGATGCAGATGAAGAACTCTTTCTTATTGAAGAGCAGATTGAATTGGCCAGGCTCGTAGAGTTTTGGATACTCCAGACTCCTTTGATCAGGAACGTCCTAAAATGCAAAGAGGCAAAAAAATATATATATATGTAACTGAGAAGCAGCCAAAAGAAACACCGTAAAGTGACGACAATAGGCAGTTCAAAGAAATCAATCAGATTTTAAAAAACAAATTTAGGTTGCAAATATTTGTCGAAGCTCAATGCTTAACACTTTCGGGGGACAGCGGTTACTACAGTGGACAGCTTATCATGTTATCAGGTTACAGGGTGCATGAAAGGGTTAATGTGTTAATACCTGGTCAAATATGCCCATTGCGAGTACAGGCAGAGAAGTGTAGACAATGTTGTAGAGTGTGATGAAGAACTGATCATATACCGTCTGCAAGACAGAGATTGTTATACGACGGTTGTTCTAGTTCCACGAGTCAAGACTTGTCGGCAAAACATAAGCTTTCCGCTCTGACCTGAGCGGAGAAGCCGCAGAAGAAGCCGAACCAGAAGTGCACCATGGTGAAGGCAAAGTTCTTGTAGAAGAAATAGCACAGGAAGCGGCACATGCGTAGGTAGGACCATCGGCCGTGTACCAGCAGAAGACGCTGCAAGAAACGGAACTGGGAGAAGGAGTAGTCACTGGCCAGCACGGCCTGGATGCCTTCTTGGCCTGAGATACCGACACCAATATGAGCACCTGGAGGAGAAGATTTTGGATCAGCATGATTCTTATGTTCTGGCACTTTATGGTTTCAGGGTTGAAGGTTAAAAATCAGATGTCGTTCCAGCATGCAAATGTACATCAGTTTTTAAGAGAGGCCACTTGTCACTGTTCATTAAGACAACACGACTTTAAATAGTCATCACAATGCCCAAAAATAAGACCTATGTGCAACCTTAATGCAAATTGTACCTTGAATGACAGAATGCACTGGAAATTTTAATTTAGTTTTTTACTGCCAAGTACGATTACACATGCATGTATGTACATGCTGACAAAACAAAACAAAGCAAAACAAAAAAAACGAGTGACGTAACACTTACAAAACAAAGTCTATTGCAAGAACACAACACATTGGGTTACTCCGTTATCTCAACATCGAGGGAGCATCAATTGTTTGCTTGTCACGGAGGCTTTAAGATGGTCAAAGAAACAAGTTCCCAGTACGATGAGGACATAACATACACTGCAACATGTATTGCCACACAGTCTGCCAGGCTTTTCGTAACAGCGTGGTCGAAAAACACGGGCGTTGCTGAGCCTCTGTTGAGCATGCGGTTGCCAAAAGGTAGACACCGGCACCTCAACTTCTCTTTTCCTTCTTGTTCCCTGACTCCCTGTTAGCACTCTTCCTTCCAACTTACTCTTGATCATGCTCACATCATTGGCTCCGTCCCCAATGGCCAAGGTGACGGCCCTCTTGTATTTCTTTACCAGCTCCACCACCTGAGCCTTTTGCAGCGGCGTAACGCGGCAGCAAATCACCGCTTTGCACGCGCACGCCGTCGTGATGAACTCCTCCTCCATGTCAGCTTCCAGTGCGTGGGCCTTGTTGGATGACAGGAGAGAAGGCTTTGTTTCGGTCTCTGCAGACCAGTGGTTCTCAAATCATAAATTAGTATGTTGTGTCATTTTCTGCGTTTTTATTGAAAACGATTGAACGTCGTCGCTGTGATCCTGCTTTTTACGCCGACAGAAAGCGAGGCCTGCAGATTCATTTGACAGCACATGTCATTGGGCATGATTTTTGTTGGATGTTTGGAGATGCAAAATTACGTTTGTTCATTTGGAAAAGAAAAAAAACAAGATTTGTTTACTGTAAGCACACTGTTACACCGTCCATCCATCCATTTTATGATCTGCTTTATCCTCACAAGGGTCGCGGGGCATGCTGGAGCCTATCCCAGCTGTCGTTGGATAGTTGGGACACCCTAAACCGGCTGCCAGCCAATCGCAGGGCACACAGAGACAAACAACCATCCGCACTCACACTCACACCAAGGGACAATTTAGAGTGTTCAATCAGCCTGCCATGCATGCTTTTTGGAATGTGGGAGGAAACCGGAGTACCCATCGAAAACCCACGCAGCCCCAGGGACGGCATGCAAACTCCACACAGGAAGGCCGGAGCCGGGATCGAACCCACGACCTCTGCACTGTGAGGTCGACGCACTAATCACTCGTCCACTAGGCCGCCACTGTTACACCGTACATTAATTTAGAGTGTACGGGTGTACCTAATGATATGGCTTTTAAATACCTACCAGGCTGTGACCATTGATGATGAGGGCGAAATCTCCAGAGATGTTGTCCATGCGGTTGGAAGGAGGACATTGCGACTGCTTTCCTGCGCCTTTGAATTTCATGAAGCAGACCTCTCCACATCCCTCGACCACCTCCTCTCTCTCACCGTCTTTTGTTTGCGACAGTGCAATCATCTGTTCCCTCGCTCTCCTACAGAGGAAAGAAAACATCGGCTTGTCTGTGTCATAGAACGTCGATAACGTAAATTCTTAAGTCTGACCTGAGTTCCTGCTTCACTCTCTGGACGCTGTGTCCACTAATGATAAAAACCTGAGTCATATCATCTGTCAGCATCTTGCACGAGTAGCCAATATTGACAGCCGTCTCTGTGTGCGATAAAACAGGAACTTGCGAGGACCCTGGAACTTTCTTCCGAGAAATCACCGCTTGTGTCCCACCTTGCTTGTCTCCTGTAACGATCCACGTCTTGATGTTGGCCAGGGAGAGGAGAGCGATGGTCTCTGGGACACCTTCCTGCAGCTTGTCCTCTATAGCGGTACCTCCCAGCAGCTAAACACGCACATGTGCACATACACACACTGTGAGTTGTAATCAGCTTGACTTCAATAGGATTCAAAAGACTGCTCAATCTCAAGGTAATAAGAAAAAGTTGAATTGAGGTTGGTTGTTGCAGACGTTTCACCTTTAATCCAGAAGGCTTCTTCAGTTCTAAATCTCAGTCTGGAGTCCTCCTATTTATGTCTGACTTTTTTTTTTAGTTTGGTCATAATTGTCGGATTCTCCTGTTAATCCAATAATGGTTGCAGATTAGGGCAATTGCTCTATTGGTAAGTATTGCGTAATGTTGATCACTTTGGTCTTAGACTGGCTCCATGTTTGTCCAGCTGTCTGTCCGTCCGGCCATTCAAATGACACCCCAGTGAGAGTTCACCTTGGACGGTTTGTCATTTGTCAATTTGTTCACACCGACATCTGGACCCTTCAGTCTGAGCGAGAGTGAAAGTCAACAGTGTGAAGTGACAAAGATGAAAATGTGTCCGGTTGCAGCAGTGAGGCAAGTTCACCTTTTATGCAAAGTTGAAGTTCCCTTGAGCAGTTATGGCAAGAAACAGATGATGAGGCAAATAGCGAACTACACCCTGGCCTGGCTACCAAAAACTTCAGTGAGGCTAAGTGAACCATGACTCATCATACCTGCTACACATTAATGAAATGTTCAGTATCTCGCTCAAGGAAACTGGAAAGTATCCATTTGAGAGACAAACACCCTGTAGTCGTACTCGATTCATATCAAATTGGCACAAAAGTCTAACAGAGTGCACTGACCGTCATGTCTTGTTCTATTTGCTCATAGGCAGCTGACAACAAGTCTTCTTCTTTGTCAGCACATTGGTGGCTTTCTGACCACATCTCCCATTGCTCCTCTGTCAGGTCCCGGTAGGCCAGAGCCAGTGTCCGCAGCCCATCAGCGGCATACTCCTGGAGTTCCCCCCCCCAACCCCAAAAACAGAGGCAAAACCTGAATACACTGGCACGAAGGACACTTGAAAATGATGTTTGCATTGGCGGTTTTGCCATTGTGACAGTAGATGGCAGCAGAGGTACACGCAGGAGTCCACCCACAAAGAGGTTGACTGAACCTGTGGTTGGTGACTCACATTGAGGTGGTCTGAGGTGATATTGATCAGGTCCTGCTTACAGGGGCGGAGCCTTTGCAACAACACAGTGTCAGCACCTTTGCAGTACAGACGGATCCTGCCCTCGGGGTTACGGACTGACAAACAAACAACGAACAAAAACATTGAGGATCATCATGCTTCGTTTTGTCTATCCACTCCATCCATCCATCCATCCGTCCCACCTATGACAGACATCCTCTTGCGTGCGTTGTTAAAGTCCAGGATGGCAAGGAGGGTATAGGTGACGGTTCGCCCCATCTCAGTGGTGGTGATGGTCCCCAGCGTTCGAGAGCGAAACACAAATCCAAAGTTTCTTGCAGCTGTCACAAGAGCACTTTCGTCTGGAGACTGGGCTTTGTAGACCAGCTCTCCTGGACACACACAAACTCAAAAGGTAAAATGTCATGGATCACTTATGGCAAATTCATCGTGTTTCGTTCTGGGACCTCACCCTCGCTCTTCTCCTCACTCATGATGGTGTGGCAGAGGGAGAGCAGACGAAAAAACTCTTGAGTGTGAGAATCTCCCACTTTGACCGACTCCAGCAACGTATCATCGTAGAAACAGAAGTCTGGGTCTGCTAGAAGATTGAAAGGAGTGAAGTCCAACCTCTGGAAGAGAATCCATATTATTGAGAGTCATATGTGCATTTTTTACGTTTAGGGACTTTTTATGTACTGGAGATTTTTAGGTTGGGGATACTGACCTTTGGCTGCGGCCCCAATGGATCTGCTACCTCCCCTAAAAGTGACAAAAATGTGATACGTAGAAATAGAATGTACTGTTTTATATTGAAGCATAATGGACAATTGTTGGCTTGATGTTATGGTAACGTTTGACCACAAAAAGTCATATACTGTATACGGTAGAATGCATTTTGCATGTCTATGTGATACGTAGAAATAGAATGTACTGTTTTATATTTAAGTATAATGGACAATTGTTGGCTTGATGTTATGATAAAGTTTGACCGCAAAAAGTCCTATACAGTACTGTATACGGTAGAATGCATTTTGCATGTCTGTATGTCAACTCACCATAACTGTGTCCATTGATGGAGCACTTTTTGAAGCTCATGATGTTCTGTGTGAGTGTCCCAGTCTTGTCACTGAAGATGTACTCAACCTGAATGAAATCATTTCTGTTTGAAAATAACTAAAATGTTGCAGATTAATTGGGTCAAACACCAAAGCATTCAAAGAATAATGTCAAACATTGACTCCCTCCACACTAGTTCTACACTCTGCTTTTCTGCGGAAGCCCACCTGGCCCAGCTCCTCACTCAGTGTGGTGGTCCGGGCCTCGGCTGCTGTGTTGCACTTGGAGCAGAACATGAGCTGGTCCCAGTTGATGAAGTAGCTGTGGCCCAGTCTGATCACCTCCACACTGTTATACACACACATAAAAAAACACCCAAATGCGATTGATTGCATTTTGCTTTACTCATGTAAAATTATTCCTTTCTTTTAAAAGGTATTTTTTTACTCATAACATTACAGCTTCATTCTCATATACAATTGCAACTTTGTCACAAAATTAAGAATTTTGATTGAAATTTTGCAAAGTACAACATAGTAGGAACATTACATTCGAGTAAAATTACTCTGCACTTGAGAGTTTTTTCTTCTAATGCGATGGACTTCTGCATGGCGAATGGGGTATCTGCAAAGAGTTGACCTATAGCTCAGAGGGAAGTGCTGCGCCACTGTGGGAGTGGTCACAGCCAACTTCAGTCAGGGCCAATCAAAGTAGCTCCATTCTTTCCATTTGATTGTGGCATATTAGTGTCTCAAAATGGCGGAAGGACATCAGCGCCGTGGAGAGAACACTTGGAGACCCCCCGTCTTGATCGTTTTTGTGTTTTCTTGTAATATTCCGATTTTATTTATGTAAAATTACAACTTCATTCATGCAAAATAGAAAGAATATGTAATGACTTGATTCTCAAAAAATTATGAATTGATTCTGTTTTCGTACTTAAACTAATAACTCGTCAAACTCTTGACTTTATTCTTGAAAAATGATGACATAACCTTGTACTTTAGTATTATGACTTTTTGATTCCAAAATCAAGCATTATTATTTGAATGTTAAATTGTTGACATTATCTTACATGTAGGCTTTTCCCTCACCTGACATACAGCGAGATGGGCACCACTGTATTGAGAATGATCACATAGGACCAGAAAGTGCGGACAGCGGAGAAGAGGAAACCATTCACGGAAGGATCCCAAGGTAGGTAATGTTGAAACAGCGTGCCCACCTCTCGCTCCCACACGGCATTGCCCACAGCCAAAACGATACCCATGCAGACCAGGAAAGCAAAGATCTGACAAGGAGAAAAATGAATGCCTTCAGACATGACACTAAATCCACTGAGATCATGTCCGACAATAGCTGTCGGCCATGAAAGTGAGAAGGTGTCTCACCCAGAGGACCAAAGTGTTCATCAGACGGTCGATACTGGTACGCTTGAATTTAGTGCGACCGCTGTTCTGCATCAGCTTGGTGTCTGGGCCTGGATAGCAAACACATAATATCATACAAGCAATTCAATACTATAAATCAGTTTCGTATTGTACAAAAAGTAGTTCTGTTATAAGAAGAACAGGTCAACTGACACAATTTTAATCAGGAGGAAATGTATTGATCACAATCCTAGCTATGGAGTTACTTCTTTTGCTAACTAGCTAACTAGGTAGCTAAAACCAATTTGATATTTAGTTAAATAGCTGTCTAGCAAGCATGTGGGCTTTTATTTAAGATCATTATACAGTAAAAGAAAGCTATATTTCTTCTATGACTGCCTTGCTCGTTAGCTTTTTATTTAGCACATTAGTTGTCTACTTCGCTAGTTACTTAGCTGGCTATTCAGTATGAAAGTGCCCAAACCAATCCATTACTTAGTTAGCTTGGGAGCTTATAATGTTGTGCTAATTAATTCCTCAACAGTGTATTCTTATGAATAAGGTAGGAGGTTAAATGACCACTTAGCTCATTAGTTAGTTAATTACTTAGTTAAATTCTTATTTCACATGACTGCAAAAACGATTGAAATGATGAACGTTCATTAGCTAATTAGCTAGACAGTTACCTAATTTGCATATGCATTTGAGATTGTTTTCTAGTATTAGCCAATTGTATTCTAATTGCATACAGTACTTATTATCTTCTTATGTAGCCTTGTTATCTTCTTTTGTAATCATAAGAATAATGATACATTTTATTGGAAAGCGCTTTTCATCATACTCAGACACTTTTCAAGAGCTTAAAACACAGGATAAAAATGTACACTTAATGACAAGCATACATGATTTACAAACAACACATTTAGATGAACAAAAATAGCAAAAATGGGTAAAATAGATTAAAAGGTGTTAAAAGGTGTTAAAAGCGTTGCGGAACAGGTGAGTTTAAGAGATGATTTGAAGGATTGGAGGTCAGTACAGTTGCGGATGTGTTGTGGTAGAGTGTTCCAGAGGGTGGGGACGGCAGCAGAGAGCATATGTAGTTATGTAGCATAACTAATGTAGCATAACTGCACAAACAGTCACCCGATTCCCATTTCCACAATTCCAACCGATTCCCATTTGTTGCGCTCATCAAATCACTAAAAAACGCAGACTTCCGTGATATAATGGGTGGGGGTAGGTCATATAGTGGGGCCACAGTCGTGAGGCCTCAACTCTGTATTGACTTTTTGAATCTTGTCTGAACATCTAGATTGAGTACATCACATGCCCAGAAACATGTTTCTACCTGCAAAGATGACCAAGCCGTAGCAGGCCTCTGTGTTGCGGAGGACGCACCCTCGGAGAAGCATGTTCTGGTTGGTCAAAGTGTACTTTTTCTCCCGCCAGTACAACATCCCCCTAAAACGATCCAGCTTATTGTTGGGGGGCTCACAGACCACCTCACCTTCACACAGAGAGATGAACATCATACTTGAAACGGGGGAGGGAAACACATACATAAAAAGTCAGCTCAAAAGTCACCATTAAACTGAGCCAAGTTGTTGGGGTCCCCCAGTTCGGATGTCACAGAGACAGACTGCCGCACCTTCATGTTGGTCTCTCTGTAAGATATTCGACATTTCATAAAATGAATTATTGTATGTGCAGCTGACCGACAAGTTGCGGTGCGCTTGCTGACCCGTCCAGTTCGGCTGTCTCGATGTAACAGAGACCATGAGGTTCACTGCTGGACAAGAGCAGCAAGTCAGCCTGCAAACAGAGGCGGATGTACAGAAACAAAACAGTAAATTAATCAAGGACAAAACATTTTTTTTTTTTGCATTGTCAATTAAGTATCAATCTAACAATATGTCATTTTTTTTTTTGCATTGTCAATTAAGTATCAATCGAACAATATGTCTACTGTATTATTTTGATTTAGTGAGAACGATTGCTAATATTTTGTCCTACAGGTAGACATTTGAATCTTATGAGATTATACAGTTACTTACTGCCACAAATTGATTGTTCTCCAATTTGATGATGTCACCTACTCGGACATTCATCCACTTTTCATTCTGAAGCCTGAAACAGCAAAATAGGATGGTTAAAAAAAAAATAAAATGTGGAAATGTGTATTACCATTCAGCTTGTATGTTTTTGACAGAAATAAACGGGGTGCCCCTCTGAAGCCTGAAACAGCAAAATAGGATGGTTAAAATAAAATAAAAAATCTGGAAATGTGTATTACCTTTCAGCTTGTATGTTTTTGACAGAAATAAACAGGGTGCCCTGAAAGTCTGGACCCTTTCATGCTGCACAATATGAC